ACACTTCAGTTTTTTTTTTACACATATAAAAAATTTTCTTTTTATATTTTTTATTTTTTTTTATTGGATCAAAAATTAAATTTTTTTTTTTTAATAAAATTAATTAATTTTGTTCAAAATTTTTTTTTTTCATACATTTTTTTTTTTTTTTTTTTTTTTGTTTAGTATGGGTTAAAAATTATCTTCTTTTATATTATAAATTTTATATATTATACACATACATACATACACATAAACCATTAATTGACCAGCATAATAACCCCCACCACAAATAATTAAAGAATTATAACTCACATACACAAATTTAATTTTATAGCAAATCATATAATATTAAATTATATTTATTTCTATGGGAGTGTGTGTGGTTATTGTCTATCTATAAATAAACAAAGGTCATGCTTTGACCAATCAATGTTTTTAAATAAATACAATTTTAATAATTAGGTTTTAAATAACTATTTCTTCATACATAAAAGGAAAGAAATAATATATAAAATAACTAAAACTTATACAAAATTAAAAAATCAATCAGATGTTATAATAATATAATAAAAACAAAAAACAATTATTATATTTTTTATATTTATTCTTTTTTTTTTTTTTTTTTTATTTATTTATTTTTTTTATTTATAAAAAAAGCTTAACAAAATATATAGTTATATAATATCAAAATCACCCACACCCATTTTCCAACTCACACTAAAAAAAAACAAAAAACAAAAATTATTTATTTTTAAAAATATTAAATATTTATAATTTATTTTTTAATTTTAAAACCATTATAATATTACCATAATTTATCATTTATAATTATATAATTATTTTTTATTATTTTAAAAACTATATAATCAATAATCAATAAATAAAAAATGATCGAGTCACCAATATTTAACACAGATTATAAAAATCATAATCACCACTGTAGTACCAATAAAAATATAGCTTGTAATAATTTTAAAAATAGCTATAACCCGAATATAAACTATAATAATAATAATAATAATAATAATAATAATAATAATAATAATATTAATAATAATAATAATAGTAGTAGTAATTTTAAAAAAACTTTAAACAATAATATTAACCCAAACTCTAATAAATATTCTAGTATTACATCATCAACATCACTATCAACAACTACAACTACAACAACAACTACGACAAAAACATCAAATTATTTGAACTCGTCAACATACAATTTATATAGTCAAATAAATACAACAACTACATTAAGTTTAAACTCATTATTACCGCCCAAACCACCGATATTATTATCGATTTTTAATTCAGAAACAATAGACACCGCAACAAAGAAATATTTTATAGGAAAGGATAGCTTGAATTTCATATCCGAGACCCAACCATACCTGTTGTATAAAACAATTTTGTTGGCAAAAAGATTATTTGGTGGTATTACTGATTACATGTTTCCTCCAAAAGACGAAATTCTATATGAAACTGATCCCTATTACTTTTATCAGGATGATACTCAATCAAATGATAGTAATGAATTTTATGACGATCCTGATTTGGGTAGCGATATAGATGAAGCAAATATAAATAATTCAAACAATAATATATATATGAATCATCACCAACAAATAACCTCAACCTCAACCTCAACTTCAACTTCAACCTCAACTTCAACATCAACCAACAATAACAATAATTTTAATAGTAATAGTAACAGTAGTAATATTAATCAACTAAACCAAAATATGAAAACTATTAATAATAATAATAGTGCTAGTATTATCGTTAGAAATGTAAATAGTAATAACCGTAACAACAATAATAGTAGTCCAACCAATAGCAGAAACAACAATAGAATTAATGATGGCGCATCCATTAATAATCAAATACCATTTAAAAAGAAACCTGCTCAAAATCCCGCACCATTTTTTAGAAATTCACCTACAAATGACTATTACGATCAAATATCTTGTGAAAATACTAATAATAACAATAACGATAACATTATAACTAATAGCAATGTAAATAATATAAAAAAATCAACAAAGGCAATATATAATAATAATAATATAGATCAATGGAGATCACAACATTTAAACGAGCCAAGTTTTGAACAAACTCAATTACAGCAACAAATTCAAACCCAAGAGCAAATGATTCAAGAGGAAAAACAAATAAAACAACAACAACAATATCAACTTTTACAAAAGCAAAGACAAGAACAAGAGTTACAACAATATCAACAAAAAAATGCTCAAAAATTAATTCAACAAAAACAACAATTACAACTTCAACAACAACAACAACAATCCCAACAACAACAACAACAATCCCAACAACTACAGAAACAACAACAATCCCAACAACCAATAAATAATGTTGACGATTTTATGACAAAGTTCGAAAGTGAAACCCAAAGTGACGAGCATAGCCAAGATAACTCATTCGAAAAAAGAGAATCATTCCATAGAAACAATATTATATTTACATCATTCAATTATATTTGCTCTTTGGTATTAAATGGATCAAAAATTAACTCAACTGAAAAATATAAAGCAAAATTAATCATTGGTTTTTGTTTTACAATTTTAAGCTTTATACCCTCATGGATAATATTTTTTTGGTTATCAGGTAATTATATTATAAAATACTTAAAAAAAGTTTAGTTAAAAATATTAATTAAATTTTTTTTATTTTTAAAGGTATAAATAAACCAGCTGTAATGGCTGTAATTGCAATTCCAATGTCTTTTTCATCACTAGTTATTTTAAAGAAAACTGGATCAATACATTATCCATGCCATATTTTATGTTTTACTTTATGCTTTGCCCTAACAATTAACTCATATTATACTGGTGGACATCAAAGTACAATTAGATTACTAATGAGTACCGTACCAATTATATCTGCTTTAGTTTTAGGTAGAAGAGCATCAATCCAATGGTCATTAATGGTTTTATTAATATATCTTTCATTTTTTGTTGCAAATTTATACGGCCACGAATATGTACAAGGAATACCATCGATTATTATTAGAAGTCATATGAATTTTATCATCGATGTTACAATTATCATTATGACTTTAATATTCACCCTCTGCTATCAATATTTTATCGATGAAGCCCATAGAGAAACTAAACTAAAAAATGCTCAGTTAACAATTGCAAAGGATGCCGCTATTGAAGCATATCAAGCAAGACAAGAGTTTTTGGCCACAATGAGCCACGAAATTCGTACCCCTCTTAATGGTTTAATTGGTATGGCTACTCTTTTAAGAGACTCTCATAACCTACCACCAGAAGAAAAAACCATGGCTAAAGCTGTTAAATCTTGTGGTGATATCCTTTTAAGATTAGTAAATGATATCTTGGATCTTTCAAAGTTAGAAGCTAATCAAATGGGTCTCGAACATATTCCATTCAAAATGAGAGAACTCACCCAACAAATTTGCCATGTTCTTTCTGGACAGGCCAACGAAAAAGGTATTCAACTAGCATGTGAAGTTTCCGATAAAATACCGGCCACTCTTGTAGGTGATAGCGGCAGAATTTTGCAAATCCTTATGAATTTAACCGGTAATGCTCTTAAATTTACTCAAAGCGGTTATGTAAAGATCATTGTTGATCTCATTGAAGAAGAATCTGAACTTGTATCATCAAGAAAAGGCGAATATAATATCTCATTTAGAATTAAAGATACAGGTATTGGTGTACCAGTTGAAAGTCACCAAAAGATTTTCGAAGCATTCGTTCAAGCTGATCCATCCGATAGTAGAAAGTATGGCGGCAGTGGCCTTGGTTTATATTTATGTGCTAAATTAGTAAAGCTTATGAAAGGTGAGATCGGTGTATATAACAATCCAGATTGTGAAGGTTCAACTTTTTGGTTTATTATTCCACTTGAGGAAGGTACCGACTCAATGCAATCCACATGTAATACACGTCATAATGTTTTCCCACCCGATTGTATTAAAGTTTTAATCGCCGAAGATAATATAATTAACCAAAGAGTAGCAGTTAAATTTTTAGAGAAAATTGGTATTAAAGCTGACGTTGCTGGAAATGGTAATGAAGTATTGGAAATATTAGAAAAACAACATTACGATCTAATTTTTATGGATTTCCAAATGCCAATTTTAGATGGTCTCAGATGCTCAAAGACAATTAGAGAGTACGAAAGAAATGATAAATGGAGCAGACACAAGCCTTCCATTTTTATTTGTGGTTTAACTGCCAATACAATGTCAACAGATAAGAAAAGATGTTTCGATCATGGTATGAATCATTTTATATCAAAACCTTTCCAACTTGAACAGTTAAGATCCGCTATTGAAATGGCCTTAGATCATATGAAAAGATACTCATAAGAATATAACTAGTGCTATTAAACCACTTTCAAAATTAATATTTTGGTATCAAGCACAAGAAAAAAAAAAAAAAGAAAGAAAAACATATTGTTTTATCTTAATCTGTTTTAAACTTTTTTCTATGTTTATACTATCCTGTATATATATGTAATATACCCTTTAAAAAAAAATAATAAAAAAAATTAAAAAATTAAAAAATTAAAAAAAACCATAAAACCTTATTTTATTTTGTGTAATATTCTATAGAATATAAAATAGTACAATAATATAACTATTTATTTGAATCTTTTTGTTTTAGAATAGAGTATATATCACTCATTCTAAGAGAGTTTATAAATAATTTTAAAAATTCGTTGATATGTTGATCTTTTTGTTTTTTAGCTTCTTTAAATATTATTGAAACAATTACCCCGGGCTCTACTCTCGAAATAAAATAGGTTAAATAATCGTCATAAATAATTGATCTTTGTGGGTCCTTAACCTTTCTGCTATCTAAATAATATAAAATATCATTCGGTCTTTCTAGTGATGAATAATTCTGCATAATTAAACCTATAATATTTGGTAAATGTTGCATTGGAGACTTTTCGTTTGGATAATAAAATAATAATGGAAAAGCACTTAAGCCACTTGGTTGTTCTGTTTCTAAAAATGAGTAACCTATTTTTGAATATGTATTGTCTTTTGATTCGAAAATTAAACCAAAAAAGAAAACATTGTTTTTTGAACAAAAGTTTTCGATACTATTTAAAATAGAAAAAAATAGCCTATTAATATTTTTAAACCTGTTACTATTACTATGTGATGTTATTATACTTACATTGATATATAATCTGGTGAATTTTTAATATAGATTTCTTTAAATGAATTGTAAGTGCCACCTATTTCTTCTTCAACATTTAATAATGGGAAATAAAAATATAATGAAGTTTTTGCTAAAATTGAGTTTAAAAACATTGATAACCATTGATGAATATGATTTGAATTCCATCTTTCATTAGATGATGATTTATGTGATGAATCTGTTTCTCTCCACGAATCCAACTCTATTCTACACTTAAATAATAACAACATTGAATCTTTGAAATTATGTTTTGAAACTAATGACTGTGATTTTAATAGATTTTTTAAAATTGAAATTTCATAACTATGTAAATAAATAAAAAGTTAATATTTTATTACTATTATTTAAAATATTCTATAGATTATAACTACTTTATATTTGCTTTCATTTGTATTAATAGAGGATGTGTAATTTTATCTTTATAAATTGTGGGTATAATTTCTAATGAATTTTCAATGTTGTGGATATCTAAATCTTGACTAACTAAAGAGTGCAATAAGGCAGAGTATATACCGACCATATCGATTTTAACTTGTAATATGAAACATGTTTGTTGCGCTAAAGTAAAAAAGAATGAATTTTCTGGGCTTTCTTCTATTTGTTGTTGTGATTGAGAGTGTTGAGGATATGTTTGTTTTTGTGGAGTTGAATTGGGTGATTTTAAAAATGAAAAACCTGAAAAACCTGATTTAACAGGTGTTGTATTTTGTGATGAAAAAGATGTTGTTGTTACTGAAGTTGGTGAAGTTGGTGATGTCGGTGATGTTGGTGATGTATTATAATTTGATGTTGAACCTGCTGGTGTTGTATTTTGTTTATTCATATTGCCAATGATTTTAAGATCATTTAATATCTGTATATATTGATCCTGTAAATTATTTGTCTTTAATGATAAATATGTAAATTTATAATATGAATGTTCGCAATTTGATAAATTCCCAAACGATGTTAAAAACCTGTTCCACAAAATATCGGTTGTGCTACTATGACTTGTTATTGACACCTGTTTTTGTTTTACCATCTTTGGTAATACTGAAAAGTTTAAATTACTTAAGTGGTTATATATAACCGATAGAAACTCTCTATCCATTTTTATTTATTATTACTATTACTTTTATTATTAGTAGTATGATTTAACTATATATTAAAAAAAAAATTAAATGAATTTTTTTTTTTTTTTTAAAATTAAAAAAATGAAAAAAAAAAAAATTTTAAAAAATAAAAAAAAAATTTTATATAGTTAATTTATTATTATCTTTTTATTTCTATTTATATAAAATTATATATATTTTTTATTTACTGCTCATTGTTTTTATTATTTCCTTAATTGGTTTGATCCTGATTGATTTTTTTTTTTGAAATTTTTATTTTTTTTTTTTTTTATTGGTTTTGTTTTTTGGTTATTTCTTCTGTATTCAAATAATATTTTAAAAAATATCTTTTTTTATTTATTATTTTAATAAAACCCAATTGGAAAACTACGAAAAAATTATTTTATTTTTTTATTTTTTCTTTTTTTTTTTTTATTTTACAAATCGGATATATGTGGGAAAAAAAAAAAACTTTTTTTTTTTTATATTGATATTTTAGATATTTAGAAATTAAACCAAACAAATAAATTAATATAGAAATATAAAATATTAAAGAAATATAAACTAACCGGGTAAGCAAACAGATAAAAAAAGAAACCACACATATTGTTAATTTTGTGATATTTATTTCTGTTTTTTTTATTTGTGGAAAAACCAATTTTAAGATATTTAAATATGGATAGGATATTTATTATCATTTTCGAATAGAAAATACAAGTTCAAACAACAGTTTTAAAACCCATTAATTTATTTTCTATTTAGAAATAATTTCAATATAAAAATAAATAAAAAAAACCACACCATTTTTAAACCCACATTAATTAAACCCACTTCCATTTTAAAAAATATATGTGATTAACGTGTGTATTGTTATTTTTTCAAAAAAAAAAACAAAAAAGGATCAGAATGCCTAACAACAAGGCATTGTGTGTTGTTATTCTATAAAAAATAAAAAAAAAAAAAAATAAAAAAAAAAAAATAAAAAAAAAAAAATTAAAATAAAATTAAAAAATAAAAATTTTTTTAGAAAATATTTAATATATACCGCAACAACAAATATATAATATGTGTGTATGTATAAGAATTGTTATTTAATATTTGTTAATAATAATTATAAAATAGTTATTATACTTTTAATCTACTAGCATTCCAAATTTTTTATTTTAATATTATCTTTTGTGGTTTTAAAATTTTTTTTTTTAAATTTTTTTTTTTTATTTAAAATAAATATTAACTAGTTTTTTTATTATAAAAAAAAAAAATAGTATTAATAACAAACAGATTTTAGTATAGAAATAAAAACCATAAAATTAAATTATATATAAAAATAATAATATTATAAATTTAAAGAATGGATAGATATAAAATAAGAAGAGAAAGAAAAGAAATTTTAAAAAAGGAGATCGAAGAAATAAGAAATAAAATTCAAGAGGAGGATTACAAGCTAATGTCAATAGAAGAAGGTGGATCGACATCAAAACACGATGATAGATTAATAGAGTTAAATAAAGAGTTAAATACAGTATGTATTAATCAGTTTGAGAAAAGTATACTTTTGTTTATTGAATATATTAATACTAATATAATTTATTATTATCATACAAGTTAAAAGATGAATTACAAAGATTAAGGTTAGAGGGTGACAAATTTTATGTGATGAGTGGTGAGGATTTAATATTAATCGAAATTGATGAATTTAGTAAATTATCATTCTATTTATGCAAACAATTTTTAGATATTTCATCTATATCTCTTCAAACATGTAACGAAAGCAGAATTCATTTAGTTAATGAAGAAGAAATTAAAAAAGATCCCGACAATACTAATTTGCAACCAATTTATGAAACCCAAACCTCAATTTCGACCAGACCAATTTATCAACTATTATCAGTTAAAACAAATTTCGATACACCATCATCATTAAGTAAGCCATCTCTTTTTGAAAGGGTCAAACAAAATACATGGAGTTTAGGCATTTCACCATTACGTAGAACTACCTCAGATCCAACCATATTTGGAGAAAGGTTTTCACCACCAAAAAGTATATCAAATTTTATTGAAAAATTTAAAGATAATAAAGATAAAGATAAAGAACAACAAGAAATTAAATACTCAACTACCACTGCAATCGTTTCGAATGGTACATCATCATCGTCATCAACAACAACAACAACAGGTGATTATGGTAAAATTTTATTAACTTGGCATAATAAAGAAACTTCAATGTATATATTAAAATCCCAAGAAGAATCTATAGAGTTATTAGAATTATTAGGATCACATATTGATAGATCAAAAAAGATTATAGCAAAACAAACTCAAACTATAAAAATGCTTTATCAAAAAAAATCAACACTTTACGACTCAAACAACCCAGAGCATGAAGAATATTTAAAACAATTATGGAATCTTTTATTCCCAGGTGAAGAGTTTCAAAAGAAATCCCCTCTTTGGAAGCAGTTTGGGTTCCAAAGTGATGACCCTTCAAGAGATTTCCGTGGCATGGGTATTATGGGTTTATTAAATTTAACCTATCTTGTAGAGCATCACTTTGATTGGGTTTACAATATTTTAAAAGAAGACAGGGACTATCCATTCGCTGTAGCTGGTATCAATATAAGTAATTTAATATTTGAAGTTTTTCAAATTAATGAAGAGTCTGTACAGCAACCATGGTACAGTAGTCTTTTAAATCCATATATGGCAATGCTATGCTCAATGTCTAGAAATAATAGTTCTCTTTGTAAGAGTGGTAATAATAACTCTGGTCAAGATAGTGCTTTCGATGAATTATACTTTTTAATATTCAAGCTATTAGATCACGTTTGGACTCAAATGAATGCCACCTACATGATGTTCCCATTAGTTCTCAAGAAATTAAAATCACTTTTAAATGAAATCTCACAATTAAATCCAAATAGTTTTGATGAAGTTAAAGCAAAATTCGATTTAATAATAATATCAAATATTATTACTCCAGAAGAAAATATCAATAATAATTTGTATCCACAATTACCTTCTTCACCAAGATCACCCAATAACACTGGTAATAGTTTAACTCCAAATAAGAATACTAGTGTCAGCAATAGTCCTCCTAAAATCATAAATAATAATAATAATAATAATAATAATAATAATAATGATAATGATAATGATAATGATAATACTAATACTAATAATAGTAATAATGACAATAATATTGATAATAATATTGATAATAATACCGAAAATAACAATACTATTCATATCGATAATAATAGTAATAATAATGAAAATGATAATATTGATGATAATGAAAATAACCATAATAATAATATTCAAGATACCAATGATATAAATCAAGAAAATGTAGATATTTAAAAAAAAAAAAAAAAAAAAAAAACTTTTTATAAAAAGAAAATTATTTGTAGCCAAATTACTATAAATAAATCTTTTAATAAAAAATTTTTTTTTTTTTAAAAAAGAAAATTTCACCAGATCTATTTTTTCTAAATATCATATCATTTCGAAAATATTTATTTTAAAACAGTTTTGTATTTTTTTTTTGAGTGTGTGTTTTGTGTGTTTTTTTAAAAAAAAAAATAATTAGAAAAGAAAATTTCAATATCCCATTGATTTTATGTGTGTGTGCGTGTTTATTTGTTTTTGTTTTTAAATTAAATTTATTAGTATATACATATGGGGGTTAATTTTTTTAATTTATTTTTTTTTTCTTTTTTTTTTTTTTTTTCTTTTTTTTTTATTTACTTATAATAACAAAAAATTATTTAAAATCATTATATTATTACATTGCACTCATAATAATAAATTGTCACATTACAAAATATATTAAAATAATTTAATTTGTTAAATATAGTAATATAATTATAAATAGTTTCATATATAACTTTTTTATAAATGAATAAATAGAAATAAAATGGATTGTATGTATTTTTAATAATTCCCTCCAAAAATAAAAATTTGTTTACTTATTTTATTTTATTATAGGTTTTTTAAAAATTTTATTTATTTTTGTTTTATTCAATGGTTTATTATGCGAATCAAGAAAAAATTCAAAACTAATAAATTTAGATGAAGGTAATAATTCAAGTGATGAAAATAATCAAATATTTTATTTTGTAGATATAAAAAATGGTCACGATTCTAATCAGGGTTTAAGAGTAATATATATTATACAGAAATTCTACCTCTTTAAATTCAAATAAATACTAATATAATTTTATTATAGGAAAAGCCATTTAAAAATTTAGACTTTTGCATTAATTATATAAATAATAAAAATGACAAAGAAGTCACATACTCGATTATAGTTTCAAAAGGAGTATATAATATTAAATCAAGTATAACTCTTGATAATAAACAATCAATATCAATCTATGGAGATTATAGTGGTTATCCGGAATGGAAAAGAGATACATTATCAAGCTTACCCTATAAATCAGATACCATTATAAAGAGTAAAGAACCAACAGCTTTCCAAATTATTGATTCATTTTCAAATATAACTCTATCTCATTTATCAATTGAATCTGGCAACCCAAAACCAATTACAAGAGTACCAACAAGCATATTTAAAGAACCTTATGAAATTACACCATCATCTTATGGTATTAAAATTTCAAATAGTGAAAATGTTTATTTAAAATTTTTAAACATCGAATCATCCGATGCAGCGAATGGCTACTCTCCCTATGACTATATATATGAACCAAATTATGAAGGAAATGATGGTAAACAAGGTGTATCTGGTTGTGAAGATGGCTCTTTCTCTGAATGCTATTCATGTAAAGCACCAAAACATGGTAGTGGTGCATTGGCCCCAAAATGTGTAAATGATTTTAAAAACGATCTTTCTGCAGGAGGTAATGGCGGTAAACCAGGAAAAGGAATTCATATGGGTGAATATGGTCAAAATGGAACTAACCATGGCGCTCAAGGCGGCAGAGGTTCGAACCCCTCTTTATTAAATCTCGACCCATATTCAATTGGTAAAAATGGTACTGACGGAATAAATGGTCAAAATGGTGGTGTAACTAGATTAGAATTTAGATCAAATGGAATCTTTTCTTTTAAACAAATCCCTCAGGATGGAACCAATGGAAGAGGAGGCGGTGGTGGGGGTGGTGCAGGTGGTTCCCTAAATGGTAGATGTACAGCATATGGTGGCAGTGGTGCCGGTGGTGGAAGTGGTGGATGTGGCGGTCGTTCCTCAAAAAGCGGTGGTAGTGGTGGTAGCTCAATTGGTATTTATATATATAACAGCAAATCAATCACTATTGAATTTTGTATTATCAAATCTGGAAAAGGTGGAGACGGCGGCAAAAGTTCAAAGCCAGAACTAGGCTATAGAGGAGGTAGCGGAGGTAAAACCACAACTGAAGACTATCCTCAAGGCGGATATGGTGGCGATGGTGGTAAAGGAGGTGATGGTGGCTATGGATCTGGTGGCTCGGGTGGTCTTTCAATACCAATACTCATTAATGGAGACTCATTACCACTCCAGAAATGCAATAACTATTATTATGGTTCAAAGGGTATAGGAGGTTTATCAGAGCTAAAGCAATTAAATGGAAATGATGGATTAGAAAAAAGATGCCTTTCAATTTCGCAAACTATTAGTAATCAAAACAATCAAATCCAATGTCCAGACTATACACTAAAAGAATGCTTAGAAAGCTTAATCTCCCCAAACAACATAATGTGCGAATATGGTGAAATTAAAGATAAATTTGAAATATGTGGTGGAAATGGTTCTTTATCTTCAAACAATATTGGGTGTGATGGTAAATTAAATAGCGGAATAATATTAGATCTATGTGGTGTATGCGGTGGAAATAATTCGACATGTAGCATTGGTTGCGATGGTATTGTTAACTCTACAAAATCTAAAGATTTATGTGGTGTATGTGGTGGCAATAACTCAACATGTAATATTGGATGCGATGGAATTGTCAATTCAGATTTAGAATATGATCTATGTGGTGTATGTGGCGGCTCAAACTCAACCTGTTTAATTGGCTGTGATGGTATTGTTAATTCTACTAAAGTATTCGATGTTTGTGGTGTATGTGGTGGCTTGAATTCAACATGTTTAATTGGGTGTGATGGTAATTCCCACTCTTATAAAGTATTAGATAAATGTGGTATATGTGGTGGGGATAATACAAGCTGTATATCTAGAAAGGACATCAAGCGTATGAAAACATCAACCAAAATTGTAATTAGTGGCACCATTATTTGTGTTTCTGTTTATGGTGGTTTAACAGCCCTTTATTTCTTCAAGAAAAGGATGGGTACCAAAGGCTCACAATATTATAGAACAAAATTAATTTTAGAATATCAAGACTCTCCAATTATCCAAGCTGAACTAATTAAACCAAACTATGACCAAGTTAACAATCAACATCAACATCAACATCCACAACAGCCCCCAACAACCCCAAACTATAACGCCTGGCCTTCTAGTCCCTACCCAAGCAATAATAGTAATAGTGGAAGTATATTTAATGTATTTTCACCTAATTTGAGAAATACAAATAACTACATGGTATTTAATAATAATGAATATGATAGCGATAACGATGATATTGGTGATAATCAAATTCAACTTGATCAATTAAACTCCTCAACCTCAAACTTGGCGTACCCAATAATAAATAATAATACACACCTCAACCAGGAAAATAATAACAATTTTAATAATTATGATGATAATTTTAACAATTCAAATTTATCATTTATAAACTATAATAACGATGACACTTCAAGTAGCAGCTCTTCAACCAATGAAAGTTTATCTTATATTTCTCATACTAACCGATAAAATATTATATTAAAAAAAATTAAAAATAAAGCTTTGTTAAAAAAAATAAAAAATATAGTTTTTAGAATTTTTTAATATTTCTTTAAATTTGACGTTAAGAATATTTGTTTATTAAATTAAATTTACAATAAATAAATAAATAAAAAATGATACAAGTAATTTGTTTAGAAGCATTTTCTGTGGACAATTGATGGACCTGATTCATCATATTCTTCTTTTGAGATCCACATTTGTTGGAAAGTTGAGAGTGAAGCTAAAATTGAACCACCAATCCAGACAGAGTATTTACGTTCTGGTGGAGCAATGATTTTAATTTTCATGGTTGATGGGGCTAAAGCAGTTAATTCTTTGTTCATACGATCGGCAATACCTGGGAACATAGTTGTACCACCTGATAAGACGACATTACCGTATAAATCTTTACGGATATCAACATCACATTTCATGATTGAATTGTAAGTGGTTTCGTGGATACCAGCTGATTCCATACCTAAGAATGATGGTTGGAATAAGGCTTCTGGGCAACGGAAACGTTCGTTACCGATGGTGATGACTTGACCATCTGGTAATTCGTATGATTTTTCTAAGGCAGATGATGAGGCAGCAGTTTGCATTTCAGCTTCAAAGTCTAAGGCGACGTAGGCTAATTTTTCTTTGATATCTCTGACGATTTCTCTTTCAGCAGTGGTGGTGAATGAGTAACCACGTTCAGTTAAGATTTTCATCATGTAATCGGTTAAATCACGACCAGCTAAATCTAAACGTAAGATGGCATGTGGTAAGGCATAACCTTCATAGATTGGAACAGTGTGGGAGACACCATCACCTGAATCCATGACAATACCGGTGGTACGACCTGAGGCGTATAATGATAAGACGGCTTGAATGGCAACGTACATGGCTGGGGTGTTGAAGGTTTCGAACATAATTTGGGTCATTTTTTCTCTGTTAGCTTTTGGATTTAATGGGGCTTCAGTTAATAAGACTGGGTGTTCTTCTGGGGCAACACGTAATTCATTGTAGAAAGTATGATGCCAGATTTTTTCCATATCATCCCAGTTGGTAACAATACCGTGTTCAATTGGGTATTTGAGGGTTAAGATACCTCTCTTTGATTGGGCTTCATCACCAACATATGAGTCTTTTTGACCCATACCGACCATAACACCAGTGTCTTGGACGACCAACAATTGATGGGAAAACAGCTCTTGGGGCATCATCACCAGCAAAACCGGCTTTGCACATACCTGAACCATTATCAATAACTAAAATTGATAATTTTAAAATTAATATAAATTTTTTTTTTTTTTTAAACTTTTACTTATAATCACTTACCTAAAGCTTGAACATCTTCACCTTCCATTTTATTTATTTATATTTATTTATTTATTTACAAAAAATAATAAAAAATAAATCCACAAATTTATATTTCCAGAAAAAAAATTTTTTAATAATTTTTAATTAAAAAAAAATAAAATTTTTTAAAAATTATAATAATAAATAAAAATTTTATTATTTTAAAAAAAGCCATTGCAATGGTTAATTATATTAAAATTATTTTATCAACTATTAAGCCACCACCCAAATACATTTATACATTCAATTATAAAAAAAAAATTGTATTTAAAAATAATAAATAATAATTATAATTATATTTTTTTTTTAAAGTAATAAATATATATTTATTATTTAAAAATGGTATAAATGTAAGATTAAATATATTTTTTTTTTTGGAATATTTAATACTCATTTATTTTTTATTCTTAAATATATTTATATTAAACTATTTAGATTCAATTATTAATTAATAACATAATATAAAATTTAGATTCGGTTATTAATTAATAACCGATAGCTTTTCAAAGAACATTAGTTTAAAGTAAATATAAAAAAAATATCTTTGGTTTCATTTTTAATAATTGTTTATTTAATTTGTTTTTATTTACGATAAAATAAGATGGATTGTGGATTAAAGAGATTATATCCAAAAAAAAAAAAAAGAAGACATATCAATTAATAAATATACCAAAAAAAATCTTTAAACCATTTTTTTTTTATTTTTTTTTTTTTTTTATTTTTTTTATTTTACATACACAAGATAAAAATAAATTTTCTGCAATCAAAAAGTGGATATTTTTTTTTCTGTATTATCAAAAAAAAAAATAATAATAATATTTAAAAAAAATAAAATTTTTTTTTTTTTAATTTATTTTTTATTTTTTAATTTTTTTTTTTCTAGTTTTCAAAAAAATTTTAAACGACCAATAGAAAACCTTTTTTTTATTTGTTATTTATTTTTGTGTGCCTTGTTTGCGTATTTGTGTGATCAATACCTTATTATTCAAATATTTACGAAATTTAGCACAGCATTTGGAAAAAAAAAAAAAATATAAATATAACTATTTTGTATTTTTTAAAAAATAAATTTTAGATTTTTATAAAAAAATTTCAACACACTTTTTTTTTTTTTTTTCAACATTTTAAAAAGATTCACCACACATTAATTAAAATAGTTGTAATATTAATAAATAATAAAAATAATAATAATAATAATTATCTAAAAAACTAGGGTTGTTTTTTTTTTTTTTTTTTAGGAAAAAAAGAAAAAAAAAAAAGTATATATCTTTCACCCACATAGAAAAAAAAAAATTTCCACAAAATTTTTTTTAATTTTATAAACACACAACACATAACACTCACAACAAATACAAATATAAACAATCGTACTCGTACGCAAGTTATTGTTGTGCCACCTTTTTTTTTTTTAAATTAATTTATTTTATAAAATATCACAATAGTTAATTATTATAAACTCCTATTTTATTTTTATATAGTTTTATATTTATATCAAAAGTAACAATCACACACTTTTTCTCCAATAATCACACAAGCAACCCAATACATAAAAATAAATAAATTTAATTTAAATACCACCAAACCAATATTTAATGCATAGTTTTTGAAAATAATCACAATTACTTACAATCGTTTCAATCAATCAATCTTTTATTTTCTTTTTTTTTTTTTTTTTTACATGTAAAATCTAATATTTACAACACCCCACCCACATCGTAATAAATTAATTATTTATTTTTATAAATATTTTTTAATTAATAAATACCTATATACTAGCATAAACACATATACTATACTATAATAAATAATAACAAATAACAATAAAATATAGAAAAGAAAAGAAAAAAAAAAAAAAAAAGTTTTTTTAAACTATCATACATCATATGATATAATAATATCAATAGTGTAAATATTTATTTTATTATTATTTTAGTGTATTAGTAAATAATTGTTGTTAATTTTAATTTAAATTTTAATTAATTAAATCCATTTTTTTTTTTAAATTCTCTTTTTTATTTATTGTGATTTTAAAATTATAATAATTAAATCAATTTTTAAAATTGTTTTATTCTATTTATTTTAATATTTAAACAATATTTATTTGTATTTTTATTTCTACTGCTGCTGCTAAATTTAAATATTAATAATTTAACTATATTTATTTATTTATTTATTTATTTATTTTATCTAAAATAAAATTATTTTTTTAAAAAAATGAAAAGGAGCCAAAGTGACGTCACCCTATCAAAATCACAAGAAATGTCATCAACAAATCTTAGTTATTTAGTCGAAAATAGTTTAGAAATAGAAGAAGATTTACAATCTACCATTTCAACATCATCAACATCATCAAATTCATCATCTTCATCGAAACCAATATCCCAAAATAATAATGTACAGCAACCTACACCATCATTTCCAATACCAAAAGATAGAAAGCAATCATCTGCTGCTAATACACCAGTTTTATCATCAATTTCAGAAAGAGCAAAACCAAAAAAAACAATGTCAATTTCAAATTTAGATTTATCAGGTAAAAAATATGCTACAATCAGCAGTGGGGCCAATGTCGATTTATCACCAAAAAAACAAAACAAAATTAAATCTGTATCAAACTTTTTCAAAAAATCTACAAGTCACAATAATCTATTAGACGTTAATGCGCCACCAGGTGTAAATGGGGAGGCTGGCTCTTGCGCTGAATCACCAAGCTTAAATTCATCAAACTCAAGTATAAGTTCAACATCAAGTAGTGCCAATCAAAAGACATTAAAATCTAAAATTGACTCTTTCTTCTCTCTCAATAAAGGCAATAGATCAAGTTTAAAATATGAAAACAGCATCTCAACATTAGAGTCAGAAGGTGTTGCAGAGTCTGATGAGTCTGATTTCGATTCATCTGAAGATGATGACTTACCTGTCCATAAAAAGCATTCAAAAAGAAGACAAATCAAATTATTTTTATATACACAAAAATCCAAAAATAGAGATGGTTCAATTAGTGTTGGTGGCAGCGGCGGTGGTGAAGAAGAGTCATCAATGGTTCCATTGGATTTGACAGCTGAATCTGCAAGTGTACCATGCACACCAAAAGGCCCAATCCCATCCCCAATCGGAGATGGCGAAGAAATTTGTAATAGTAGTTCAATTAATTCCGAAAGATCAACACTTACTCCAAGTAGTTTTCATCATCAAAAATTGGAAAGAAAATCAATGTCTGATCCAAATATTATTTCTTTAGTGGAAGAAGAAACCAATAGCACCAATAATAATAGTAATCAAGCTGATGAAGAAGAACAGGATGTAGATGATTTAAGAAAGTTTTTAGAAAGAAGATTAATTAGAAGACCAACAGTAGCCGAATTAAAGTTAGATAATATATTGTTTCAAACTGAATTTGAGGATGTAGCAAAAGAACAAACAAAAACTGAAATGTAATTTATTTATCATTATACTATAATATTATTTTATTTACAAATTTATATTAATAATATTTTTATTCTATAAATATTTAGTAAAAATCAAAAATTATTTGTTGGTACAAGACCAAGTAAAAAGAAATTTTTCAATTCCCCAAATCCATCAAATATTACAAATAATTCAGTAAATGTAACATTAAAGATTGAAGACGACGAAGAGAGTCATAAAAGAATTTTATCAAAAAATTTATTAGATAACGAAGATGAAGGTGATATTTGTAGAATATTAATTTTACCATGCAGCGGATGGAGAAGAGAAGTGGAGTCAGAAGATTATCAATGCAGTATAAATATTAAACAATCACTATGTATTGAGGAGATCGAAAATGAATTTCCACATTACTATGAATCATTTTGTAAAGATAGACATAAAAATTATTTAGCTACCAACAATGAAGAATTGGGTCCGGTAGTGATTAGTATTAAAAGAGAAGCTGAAAGAACCACCTCTTACAAAAAACTAAAGAAAAAGAAAAAAGAAAAAGAAAATGTTGCTGAAAGTTGTCCAAACTTTTCAATATATAATTACAATAATTTAAATAACCCTCAAGCACAACAACAAATTTTAGCACAACAACAACCACCACAACCAAACAGTATAGAATCATATGAAAGAAAATTTAAAACCATTATTAGAACTAAAGAAGGCGAAGATAGATTTTTTTTATCATCAGGTAAATCATCACCACACGAATTAATCAATACTATCAAATCCATTTTCCTTTCAAATTATCCAGAGCTTCAATTCCAAAAAATTCCAAATAATTCTGAAACTAGAAAAATGTTGCAATATTGGGAAACTGCTCAAATGACTAAAGATTATAAATTTGGTTTACTATACAGAAAAAATGGTCAAACAAATGAAAATAATTTCTTTTCAAATACAAATGAAAGTCCTGAATACAAAGAATTTTTAGAATTTATTGGCGAAAAAGTAAAATTAAAAGGTTGGGAAAATTATAAAGGCGGTTTAGATGTTAAGAGTAAGTTAATATTAAAATAATAATATAAAAATGAAAATTAATATTAATTTTTGTTTATTTATTTATTTATAATTAAAACAGGTGACACAACAGGTTTATATTCAATTTATAAAACTAAAGAAATTTCAATTAATGAAAATAAAAAGTTTAATGTGCAAATAATGTTTCATGTTAGTACTCTATTACCACTTTATCCAAATGATGAACAACAATTGGAAAGAAAGCGTCATATCGGTAATGATATTGTTGTAATTATATTTCAAGATATTAACTGTAGCCCTCCATTCAGACCAAATATGATTAAATCTGAATTTAATCATGTTTTTGTAGTAATCCAACCATTAGAAAAGTCGTATCCTAATGAAATTACAAAGTATTCTGTATCAATAACCTATAAAGAGGGTGTATCAAGCTCAACCCCATTTTTCCACTCTCAAAAAATTTGGAAAAAAGATAATGTATTTTTAGATCACTTGTTAACCAAACTTATCAATGCCGAAAAAGCCTCCTATTATTCACCCGCTTTTTCAGATAAAATGAAAAGAACAAGATTAACACTTTTAAAAAATATTGTAAATACTTTTCAACAATCAAAATAATTTAAATAAATATATATAGTTTTTTTTTTTTTTTTTTAATTTAAAGAAAAAATAAAAAAATAAAAAAAAAAATATATAATTTATATATATAAAACATTTCTTATCAAATTTTATAAATTGTTTGATTTTTTTGTAGATTGCGGCTAAAACCAAATTAATTTTATTATTTTTTCTTATTTTTTTATCAATTTTTTTTTTAAAGATATCGATTTTTGTGTGGGAAAAAAAAAAAAAATAAAAAAAAAATGATATGTTGCCTGGTAGTTGGGAAAAATTTCAAAATTTAAAAATTACGAGATTGTTTTTTTTTTTTTACAAAAGGAGAGTGGTGTCAAAATTTGATAACATTTAAAAAAAAAAATAAAAAAAATAAAAAAAATATTATTATTAAAAAAAAATAAAAAATAAAAATTATATTATCTTTTTTTTTCATATTGTTTTTAAAGTAGAATACGTATATATATATATATATTTTTTTAATTATAGATTTATTTATTTTATATTTAAATATTTATATTCTTATCGAAACACAATATAAACTATAAATAAATTTATTAAATAAAAAAACATATATAATAGTAATAATAAAAGTAATAAAAATATAAATGACAAATTCAGAGGAAAAAGAAAAAGAAATCGGGATTATTTTAACATCTAATGTAGCTGATGATGCAGAGATAGAAAATGAAAAAAATTCATTAATTGTCTCCAACAGTGAAGACGATAATTTTATCAATGACAACGAAGAAGAGACAGATATGGGGACATCATGTGCAGAGAAAGAGAACGAAGCTAAAATAGAAGTGCATGATATGAAAGATCTTTTACCAGTAATAACACCATTACCAATTATGAAAATATTAAGTATATTTATTATTATGTTGTGTGATGTAAGTAAAAATTAAAATAAAATAAAAAAAAAAAAAATAAAACTAATATAATTTTTTTTTTATTCAGGCAATAAACTCATTGTCGATTTTCCCATATGTAAACTTTTTGGTCGAAAGCTTTCATTTAACTGATGATAGAAATAAGTTGGGGTATTTATTGTTAATTATAAATGATCTGAAAAATTTTGTTTTTAATATTTATTTTTAAAAAAAAAATAGTTATTTTGTAGGGATTTTAGCATCATCATATTATATTGCACAATTGGTCAGTAGTTTTTTTTGGGGATGGTTCTCGAATTATAAAGGTAGAAGACCATCCTTACTCATGGGTTTAATTGGTTCAATGATATGTTTAACTGGTGTTGGTCTTTCTAAAAATTATCCAATGGTAATGACATTTAGATTTTTATCTGGTTTATTAAATGGTAATGTTTCAGTCGCCAAAACAATGTTGGGTGAAATTACAGATTCAACAAATCAAGCAAAGGCATTTAGTTTTATTGGGCTTTCATGGGGTGTTGGTGGTATTGGTAATATTATTTATTTTAAACTTTAAAACATTAGAAAAATAGTTTTAAATATTAATTTTTTTTTTTTTTATAGTTGCTCCATTAATTGGTGGTTATACATCAAATATTTGTGTAAAACATCCAAACGCATTTTCACCAGATTCATTTGTTTGCAGATTCCCATATTTATTTCCAAATATAATTTGTGTATTATTTTCCCTTTTAGGGTTATGTTTAGGATACTTTTATTTACAAGAGTCTAAGACATTCTCTTATACAAAAATCCCATCAAAAACAAGCTCGAGATCAATTTCAAGAAAGAAAATTAAATCCTCATTTAAAAAGATTATCAATAAATCAAATAATTTAATTTCGAATTTAAAGCAAGGCAGTATTACAAGCACTGTAGAACACGACGATTCAATCCTATTAGACGACGATATACTTGCAAAGAACGATATAGAAATGACTACCACCAACCACACATTAGGCGACGAAGTGGAAATCGAAAAAGAGGATCACGAAATTACAGATGAAGAGTTAGCAAAAGAATTACCAAGACCAATAAAAGAATTATATAGCGATAGAGGTGTTATGTATTCATGTATTATTTATGCTTTACTTGGGTTTTTATTTACAATCTTTGAAGAGGTCTTTCCAAATTGGAGTCCAAACAAGAGAGTTTTTCATCCAGATACAGGTATAATAACAGGTGGTGGTTTTGGTTTCTCATCTAGTAATATTGGTACAGTTCAAAGTTCAGCAGGTATTTTTGCGTTAGTTATTCAAACTTTTGTTTTCCCAAAAATGGTTTCATATCTTGGTTTATTAAAGTCATTCAGAGTCTCGTTGTTTATTGCTATACCAACATGGATTCTATTACCCGAGTTATCAAGATTCACAGTCGTCACAAATATTAACGATCACGCACCCCACCCAACCATGTTTTGGGCTCTATTATTCCCAATTTATTTATTCCAGTCATTTGCAAGTGAAATTACATTCATTTCTATTATTGTAATGATTTCAAATAGTGCTGCTCCAAGAGATATGGCCTTGGTTAATTCCATTGGAATGTTTTTGGTATCGATTTCACGTTCTTTTGGACCAACCATTGCAGGTTCATTATTGGCTTTTTCAATGTCACATACATATCCATATCCTGTAGATCATCATTTGGTATTCAATTTAGAGATTGTTTTAACAATTGGTTTATTCTTTGCTTCATTTTTATTACCACAAAGTTTAAATCATACTAAAGAAAGAGCAATCCTTTTAGAAAAAATTAAAAGTGGTGAAGTTAGCGAAGATGCATTATCTAATTTAAAAGAACCAGAGATTAGACACTAAAGCTATATTATATAATAATAATAAAATACATGTATATATTTAAATATATAAATATATATATTTTACATTCACATTTAATTATATATTATAATTAAAAAAAAAAAAAAAAATTAAATTTTATTTCTTTACTTATTTATTTATTTATTTTATTTATTTATTTATTTTATTTATTTATTTTATTTATTTATTTATTTTACAAATATTTTATTTTATTTTTTACAATTGTTTTTTTTTTTTTTTTTTTTTACACTAAATTAATAAATTATAAAATATTAATATTACAATTAAAACCATAGATGAAATCATTATTAAATAATTTAAGAAATTTAAATTATTTGAATGACCATTTAAATTTGTTTTTAGTTGTGGTTTATAGTTTGAATTAAATTTGGGAATAATTTCATTTGAAACTCTTTCAGCTGATTGAAGGGCACCCTCCATATACCCTGCCCATTCTGTTGCAGTTTCTGTTCCTGCAAAATGAATATTTCCAATTGGTTCTCTTAATGCTTTACCATAATTTGAATAGTCATGTGGCCCCATTATACAACCATATCCACCATTAGACCATGGATTAGAAGCCCAATTACGCTCTAAATAGTTTGTTGGCGAGAAAGCTCTATCATCAGAAAAGCTTTGGTAGATGAATGCCATTGCTTCGTTCTTTCTTTCGAGTTCTGATTTCTTACCCCATTCAATGGCATAGTCACCTTCGAAAAAACCTATAATAGATGACTTTGAGCCATCTTCAAAAGAGCCATCATAGCAAAATGATATTGAGGGTCTATCTGATACAACCTCACCTGAGAAGCCCAAATCTCTCCACCAGCAATCTTGATAAAATATAATAAACTTAATAACTTTTCCCATTTTAGTTGATTTAGTTAATTGTCTTCTTATTGTTGGTAGCTCTGGTTGGTATACAATTGTATCAGCAATATTTGGAGGCACAGTTAAAACCAAATATTTTGATAGATAAACACACTCCTCATTGGTTTTGATGTTTCTTGTTGTTGTTCTAATGATATCTTTGGTTTTATAATCATGTTCAATTTTAACTACCTGAGTATTCATCTTGATGGTAACATTGTTTGATAAAAATAATGGAGATGGTGATAAACTATTTTCATTTTGTTTAACATTTTTTTTACTTGCAGATGGTATTAAAAGTTTTTTTGACAAAATATTTGAGATGTTATGAGAGCTTCCATAAATTCTATCTTGCTGTGCTCCTCCTTCAACTTCTATGGTTTTTGAGACACCACCAGCACTTTTAAAATAGGTCATTGCAAAGAGTACAGATATGTCTTTTGGTTCAGCAGAAAATACTGCTAGGATTGAGATATAAATTAATTTTTTTGAGGTTTCAAAATACATGTGATCCTCCATCCAATCCCTCATAGAAATTGAATCATAGTGTTCAGCATGTTTCCAATTCCATGGCTGTGTAACATCTAAGTCTCTTGATAGATAGTCCAATCTCCATACAACTAGTTGGCATTCAATTACAGCACCCAATCCAATTGGTGGTATTAACGAGGTGTATCTTGCATGGGTCCCATTTATTTCCATTACTTTTTTACCCTTTTGTTGTTGAGGAAATGTAGTCTGGTTACAATCTTTTACCAATTCATTAATTCTATACTGTGTTGGTCCTACCCATTGGCCACCCAAATCCCAATTATAATTATCAATCTTGACAGAATCTGTTCTACCACCGACCCTCTTTAATAAATTAATAAATTAAAAAATTAAAATCTATTTATTTTTTATATTTTTTTTTTTTAGTATAGTATATAATTACATCTTGTGCCTCTAATAATAATACTGATATATTTTCATCTTTTAACAAAGATGATGTTCGTAGCCCTGATAAACCAGCCCCAACAACTACTACATCATGAATTATACTTTCCTCCATAATTATTTTATTTATTATATTATGATTGATTAGTTATATTTGTATTTCTATGAATTTATTAATAAATTTTTAATTTTTGAAAAGACAATGAAATAAAATTTTTTAAATATTATTTTAAATTATTTTTATTTTAAAGAAATATGTATCTGTTACTATTTATTACTATTAATTATTTGTAAATTTTTTTTATAAAAAAAAATAATTAAATTTTTGTTTTTTAAAAAAAAGTAAAAAAAAACAAAAAAATTAATTTAAATTAAGTGAATTTTTTATTTTTGTTGTGGTTATATATTGCATTTTTCCAAAGGGTAATGGGTGTGTTTGGTGTAAAAAAATGTTTTTTTCTTCTGAGTGTTTTGGGTGTTGGGTGATAGTGTTAAATTTTTTAATGGTGGTGGGAGTGGGTGAATGTGGTGTTGATATAAAAAAATCAAATTATTGTATAATATTTATTAATATCAAATTTATAAGATTAAAATAAAAATAAATAAAAAAAAGATAATATGAAGAAATATACAAATAAACAATGAGATAAACAAAAGTAAAAAGTAATGTTTATTAAAATATTAATAGGTAATGTCGATGAAAAGACACAAACTAGTAAATGATTATAAATAATAGTATAAGATTCATTTTTATTTTAAAAAAGATTTAAAAGATATTATTGTATTTTAAAAGTAATAAACACAATACAATGAATAGGTCCAATCTGTGTTTATTTTTAATAAAAATGAAATAAAATTTGATAATTTAAATAATTTTTTTTTTTTTTTTTTTTGGTTTATAAACCAAAATCACTTTTCCAAATATCAACAACCATTTTTCAAATATTTTTATTTAAATCGCAGTTCATCAATATTATTTTTATTTAAAATTTTTTTTATCATAATATTTTTTCAACATATCTAAATATATATAATATTTTTTAAAAATTTAACGAAAAAATACAAAAAATAAAAAAAAAAATAAAAAAAATAAAAAAATAAAAAAATCTTTTTAAAAAAATTTTATTTTTTTTTAAAAACTTTAATAAAAAGATTTTTTTATTTTTTTTTTCCTCACCATCACTATAGCCCACACTCAATAATCATTAGTATTGTTTAAATAAATCTTTGTTATATAAAATTTTTTATTTATAAAATAAAAACCGTTTACTATAGCTATATAATACTATTCAATATTAATTGATTAAATAATAATAAATAAAAATAAAATAATAATCATAATCATAATATTATTTAATAAAAGGGTAACACAGTAGTGATAGAAATAATAGTATTAGAAATAATAACAACAATATCTGTAGTTTTTATTTTTAGTTTTTGGATACGTGCGCGTTAACTGTTACTATTATTGTGTAGTTTTTGATATCAATTATTTAAGATAATAATATTAGAACACAAAGTAATAGAATAAAGGTAGGTTAATAATATAAAAAAGATTTTTCAAACTTTTATTATCATCAGATTTATGACAAATAATAATTCTTAATATGGATATGTTTATTTTATTTTTATTTATTTGTTTTTTAAAATATTATTCAATCACCTTAGTTTTAATGGTGTATCAAATAATGGTACCATAAAAGATTTATTTATTTTTCTGTGTTGTGGTGTTTTTTCATTTAATTTGCTTTTATTTTTTTATCAAGTGATACTGTTAATTATTATATCTTATGTTATTGAACATTGTGTTATAAAAATAGATTTAAGAGAAATAAAAATAAAAAAATAATAATAAAAAAAAAAAACAAACAACCAAACACTTTATTTTTATTTGCTACTGTTCATTATTCATATTCATTATTCATTTTTT